TTTATTAATTAATATAAAGTAAAAAAAACCTTTTACTTTATATTATTAAGTTGTAATAATCTTTATATTGCTTTTATTTTACTTACTTTTATTATAAAAAATTCCAATTATTATTATATAATCAAATAATAGGATTAGTACAATAAACACAGCTTAAATGATCTATGTAGATATATAAAACTTTATTATTGACTAACACTTTCAATCAATTCTGATCTTCTTCAGGTCAATTATGTTCTATAAATGGAATGTGTTGAAGAATGTTACAAAAATTTAAACTAACATATATTGTTATATAATGTGAAAAATAATGTATAATTTTAATAATTATAATTTTTTACTATATTTTTTCACATTATATAACGATATATTAGTTTTAAAATTTTGTAACACATTCCATTTATAGAACATAGCTGACATAATAAAGATCAGAAATAATTGAAAATGTTAGTCAAAGTTTCAATTTGAATCTACAAAGGCTATGTTGTGTTTATTGTACTATTATCCAGTAAGTAGCAGTTGTTAAGTTGAAATAGGACTAGGGCTGATGCTCTTTTACCTTCGACATCTTATATATGGTGCGTGTCCAATTTATCAGAAATACAAATTCATATTACATTCATAGCTTTATCATTTGTAAAACTTTAATGAAAATAAGTAAAATAAACAATTGAAATACTTTTGTAACAAAAAATGATATTGAAGGAATTTTTAAGATATGATTTTCCAAATACATCATATAAATACTTTTAATTGCATTCAATTCAAACCACAAATAATTCTAAGATAATATTGAAATCATAAAAATAACTATTTACATGAAAATATTTTAAAATTCCATCTATTCTTGCAATCTTTGATCTTGTATCTTTGCACAAATTTAGATTATTATGAGTGATTAATTAGTTATTATGAGAAAGATACTAGTGTACTATGGCTTATACAACATTTATTATGTCCATTATAGATAGATCTAACTCATAATAGTCAATCTGTATAGATGAGAATATTGGAGAACAACGCTTCAGGCTATACTATCTGTCTTAACTGCATTCAAGGCTGCAGTAAAACTGCTGAAAACACCAGTTTTCACTTGATCACTAAAACACTGCCTATTCAATCTGTCAACCCAACAAGTATTGTGTTCATGAGTAGTTCATTTTTTACCTTCAAAAGGGTGCTGATGACTGATTGGTATTTTTCATTGTTTATGGTGTATCAGATTGAAATATCCAAAACATTCTTTAATATTAATACTGCTAACTTTACATATCATAAAACTTAGTTTGTCTATACTGTCAAATGAAAATTTTGGAATAAAGAAATAATAAGACTATATATTTAAGCAGAATCACTTTGACGTTCAAGAAGGGTCTCGTTTTCATTCTCCAATCTTCTTTGGTATTGCTGCTTTTGGGCATTGTTGCGATTGTTCAAACTTCATAGCCATGATACATTTTCGATGAAATTAACCTATCTAATTTCAAAATTTCTCTCCATTGCGTGTCGGCCCGGGTTGAATTTTTGTTGATGTGTAACAAAAAGTTCCCATTTTTGAAAAAATAATTGTGGCTATTGTATCGTCCAAAATTATTTTTTTATTTTGCACAATATACAGTTCAACCCAATTATAATGTCATCGAATGTAACGACAACCCTAATATAACACCAAATTTTTATCGGTCCTATGATTTTACTATACTATATAATGTTAAAAAAAAACCATTTGTAACAACATAAAACTGTTTTAATGTCATATTTGAAGCACTCCCAAATTTACAAAATTAGATTACAAATTTTATTTAACATAGAAGAAACTATGTGTTCAGTCCTAAGGTCAGAGTTTATTTCTTAGAATGACTGTAAGTGGTACTCTCCCCTACCTGACTTCGGTGGGGTGAGGTGGCTGTTTTGCCTGTTTGTAGAAGAGGGTCGCAATTTTGCCATTTTGTATTTTATTGTGACTCGATTCTCGGTTCCCTGACTACCTACAAGTCTGGATTTTTTTATGCGCAAATGATTTGGGCACCTAATACTCTTTGCCAAATATCAACTCTTGACATGTACTCCTTCATACCTCTATGCTGGTAAGAACATCGGGCAGTACAATTTTATAAACAAGACATAGTCCTGTCAAAAATAATTTTGTAATAATTTAATAGAGGCAATAAAAATAAAACATCTTTTCATATTAAATGATTTTATAGTGACTTTCCATCCACAGATGGTAAATTTCTCAAATACTAATTTAAAGATGTTAACCAAGCCATATTATTTCTTAATTTGTTAAAGCAACCTTATCAAACTATTTAATTTTGCAAAACATATTTTAAATAGCTGTTAGAATAAACACTTGTATATGCTTTCTGTTTTCATTTTTATTGATATATTGTTCTAATGTTTTGTATGTCTCCTTTCTTGGATGTAGCCAATAAACTAACAACAACAATTTAAAATTTTTATCACCAACTAGTAATTAAGTTTAAAATTAAAACTGACGACTAAGTCTGTCGAAATAGCAATTACCACTTATTCACTTTCACCGTTCTGGAATACAACTTTTGACAACTATATGTGGAGTGTCGGTCAAGGCGAGTGGTTGCTCTTCTCCACCAATGCTCTGCATGCAGTCGTGCATTTTAGCATTTGCCATCACCTGCATCAAAAGTGCCCACACCCTCCTAAAACTTTATAACACCAAGTACTCCACAAGCAATCAAGTGGACTACTCAAAGTCAGTATAGTCATAGTCTTAGCAGAATGAACAGCACGACTCCCGATTGCACCCTGTAACTAGGGAGACTATACCTCGCAAACGGTCACATACAGAGGTATGGTTCCATTAACTTTTTTGCTCCTACGAATACAGTCTACATCTCCGTTAGGATCCCAAAACTGTCAATCGCATCTGCAACTGTACCCTTTTTATGAAACCTTTTTCCATTTTCTAAGTAACATTTACTTGCAATAAACAAATGTTTACTACTTGTTCGTATGTCTTTCTTTTATACTAATTTAACATTTCTAATAAAAGCATTTAGTAATTAAAAGATATCAGTTTACACAACTTACAATTTTCAATAAATCTTTTAATAATAAACATTTTGACATTCACCTTTTATTTCTTGCAATTTTTTAAACTGCTCTAAGAAACTGCCATCGTTTTTAAACGTATTCAGGCCGGTATTTGACATTCCTTCCGTGGAATCCGTTTCATATTCACTGAAAATAATGAAAAGTTAGCCAAATGAAAATGGCATCACAAAAAATATCCTCACTTCATCAATGATATAGGCTTAATTACCTGGACTTTTCACCTTGATAAACCTTTGCTTCAGCTTTTCTCTTCTCTTTCCTTCGCTTGTCTTCCAATCTACGTTCAATTTCTCGTTTTTTCTCTTCTATAACTTTTTCTTGCTTAGTTAATTGCGATAATCTCTCGCTTCTCGGAACTTCATTGGCAAGTTGATAAGACATTTTGTCTTCCCAACGCTAAACATAATCGCGCGACAGAGCTGCCAGCTATCGCAACGTCGTACGTAATAAATTATTATTATGTTAAATTATATATA